AACTGCATTTTGGACCAGTTAATTTTTAAACACAATTATTATTATTAATATACAAACTATACTTACGCAGAGATGTGTTATAGTATTATAATATTTTAACGAGGACTTATAATTCATACATCGATTTGCATTATTTATTGTTGTATTCGTTTAATACTTTTACAGGTGGAGTATTTTAGATTCTGGTCGTAGCGTACTCAGATTTTTCAATTATGTGTGCTTTTGTGTATTTTTTACACGACGTTTAAACGTTTTATGGTAGAAAAAATACTTTGATCTTTAACATTGGGGATGATTTCTGATTTCGAATTGGATATATATACCTAGTTGATCCTTTTGAAAGGTGAAATTGAAAATTAAAAATTATTTTATTAATAATTGGGAAAAACGACCAAAAATTCGGGAAAAACTTTTTATTAGCATCTTCTATTATATTATATGGTATGAATTTCCAAAAATGTCAATATTTTTTTTTTAACCTGATACGCTCCATGGATGTTTTGAACATTTCGCCTTTTTTAGCCTTTCCACCATTTAGTCTTGTTGAAAACATCTACGCGTATAATAAGCCCGAAATAAATTTTCAAAAAACGGTTTCGCCGACGAGTCTATACTGCAGTGAAAGCGAATATTATATAATATTCCGGTCGAGTCTGATAACCGCGGCAACAGCACAATATGATTTATTATTAAATCTCGTAGGTATTTACGAATCTATTATATGACCGACCACGAGCTATGTAAAAATTGCATCTGTACACAAATATTTATGTCCAAATAATTTAATAATGCTATTCGATACTTTAGAGATATTAGTTATTTCAATATATTACAAAAACGTTATTTGAGGTGCCTTATAGGTAATACCTAACAGTAATATTATAATAATATGATAGAAATATACACAAATCACAATCATAATAATTAAATATTAATTTTATATAATAAAAGCAATCTTTTCTCTACAAATTAAAACAACCTACCTTAATACCAAAAGTAAATAAGTAGTAGGTACCAGGTAGTAAACATATAACTTTAATAACAATATCAAAAAATATATCATGACAATTTATACTTTAGACCATAAGCGGAAATCCATTAAAATTTTAGGGGGCTAACATTTTTAACATCAATGTGAGCAGGTAGTCTTCGATCCTATACAACTAAAAAAAGAATATTATTGGGGCCAATGGGATATTTGGGGGGGGGGCTAGGACTTTAGTTTTTAGTCAGTAGGCGGTAGTTATCTTTTCTTAATTATTTTTTTTTGCAACACTGTTTATTTTTTTTTATTATAGTGCCCAAACTTGTCTTTCATTATACTCCCTAACATAATATTGTTTTCACAAATACTCCTGAACGCGTTTACAATTTCCATGTACATTTTTGATAACCATGCCGAAACGTGTTACGCTCGTCCGTACAAAAAACAAAACTGTACTGACTTATCTTATAGTGTTTATTTCGAACATTTTTTTTTATATGTTTATGTTTTTGTAGAGAAATATTATCAAATGTTTTACATTCTAATATATCGAATAATATTTATTGAAGAAAAAGCTGTTTAGCAGGTTATTAATTTCGTATAAGAACGTTTTATATCTCAATATCTGTAATATAAAACTAGGTACATTATACAAACGTTAATATTTTCTCGATGATTTTGTCTAATGCTCACCTAATTAGTTATGATATTTTTAAGCACCACCACAAGGCACTCGGACACTTCTTAAACGGTATAAGTACTCAATACATATTTGAAAATATGGTCATTCAAAAATGTAAGTTTGTACCTACTTTAAAAAAAACAGGATTCGAATACATTGAACAGTAGGTGTTGAGTTGTAATCACGTCATTGAGTAAGTCACTGTAATGAATGTGTTAAATTTGAATCCAGTGAAAATCATTGCACACGAAAAACTATCCTGAATGGAGACGGTCTGTTAGTATGTTATGGTATATTGCTATTAATAATTATTATAATAGTCATTTAATTTACCATTAGTTATACGGTAAAGAACACAAGTTTGAGTATATTTAAATAGTTACCTCTAAGACTACAACCAATAAATTGTAATTTCATTTATTTAGAAAGAAGTTTAAAGCTTAACTCAAATTTGTATAGATACATACATCGAGAAACACAATAATAAATACATTTTACTAGTTTACATTTTCACAATGCCTTACATGAATACATTTTACTATTAAATATATTTAAAAAATATATATATATATGATTTGATTATATACAGTGTATACTATAATATACTATATACTTAATATTTCTTATATATAGTTTAAACAATTACCTACACAAAAAACTGTTGAGAAAATGGATGCATGAAAGATGCAATATGTAATGTCATTAGTTTGTATATATTTATTCATTTAAAAACTATATTTATTTCATCTCAAAAGTATATACACATATATACATCAAAAATAGTTTAATGGCATGTAATTTTATGATACCATTAGGATAACATTTACCCGAAAAGTTTTAATTGGACATAAAAGTTATAAATGTACCTACTGCATATATTTGAAATATTTCGTCATGTTGGTTCTATTTTAGGTGACATCAGCAATAGTAAATCTGTTACCACTGCTTATTGTATTACGATTGATGATCGTGACATTCGTTATGATAACTATTATTATATTAAATATGAAGTCATTCAATTTAATTTTTACACAATAAAATATAATATTTTTTTTTAGTTAGATTAGGTTTATTACTTAAACTATCATAAAATACGAAACAGAATAAATATAAAAGTAGATAAATTCATCTTACAAACAACCAATTAGATATCTATCTAATTTAAATAAAAATAAATATAATATACATATTATATACTATTTTATACATTTTAATACTTATCAGATAAAATAGGTAAATTCCTTGAGTATAAAATAAATGACTTGAATTCTTTGACCTACTTATTCCGTATAACTAATTTTAAAAATCATATTGAATGAATAAATTACATTATTTTTTAAAGTATATGACAAGTTTTTAAAAAAGAAATAAAAAATAAAAATGTGAAATATTTTGGAAAATATGTTATATAATAAAGGTACTAAATAGTAAAAATGTTTTAATATAAATTGAATATAAATAAATTATTTACTTTGATAGTATATGCAATATTTTTTGTCCATTTTTAATAATAACTATGTTACCTACCTATTATATTTTTTATATTTCTAAAACAAAGTACAAACATAAACAAATTTTTGATCGAATACGTAATGTACCCATTATTAAAAATCAGAATCAATTTTGAGATAGCTGATTATCAAAATTGACCGATATTAATATTGTTATACCTACATAATAAATAGTATTAACCTAATTAAATAGATTTATCAATAATAATTCATTATATATTATAATTTTATGCTTAGTAGGTAATACTAATTACTATACATCATAATTTTCAAATTAAGATAAATGTATATTGATATAATGATATATTATTAAAACTTATAAGTTAGTATTTATGTATATATTCTGATTATTATTTGAAATTAATAAAGTACTAAAATTGTTAAACCATAAAAAAATAGCATCAACAGTTCTTATTACTCCATGGCATGTCATTAACTTTTAATCTGAAACAAAACATTATATAAAACTCTAAAATAAATTATTAAAGAGTTTTAAACTCTTTAATAATCAATATTATAATTTAATAACTATTTACAAACTTTTTAATGTTATAAGTAGCTTAACGTTTTAAATTGTGTATATGTAACTATAGAACTTTTACAAACTTTCTAGATATACCTTACAGTACTGGAAAAAACAATATAACATTTTTACGAATACCTGATAAAAAATTAAAACATCGGACAAAAATTATTTAATGATATAAAATTGATGACAAGTCACTATTGTAACCGGATGCTTACAATAAGTATAGCAAAAAATGACGATTTTAATTTTAAAAAACTACCTTCCAATAATAATTTTAAAAAAAACTATCAGCGCACTAACTTCTTAGTACAAAAGTTGACTGATAAAGTTGCACTGCTAAGTTCAAAAGGGTCAAGGGTAATATTTACTATAACTTATAAGTCTATATGCCTTATAGAGTATATAATAGGTAGGTACTGCATAAGTATTATACTTACTTAGTACTAACTTACAGATATTAAAAGCATAACAATTGTCTACTTATACTAAACATAATATTATAATGGTAATTAAATTGTCTATAGTATAGTCACTAGTCGAGTTTTCAGAGATTTTGGTATAACGAACAATAACATAGCATTGTCGTGATTGACTTATGAGGTCATTGTGCGGAGTATTCAAATAATACTTTAGTGACATATTCATATACCTATCTATACACTACAAAATGTGAAAACGATTATAGTTACTGTAATGTAGTATCACATATTCACATTGACACGTGTGTATTACTACTGTACTTCAGAAAATAATGCTTGAGGAGGTTGAGGTTTGTGAGGACTTTCGGTTGAAATTTGTGATTCAGAACTAAGTACTAAGTAGGTACGGTTTGCCAATTTTGTACGCGATGGCCACTGGTGAGTAACCGTCTCGAAAACCCGGGAGAGCTTCAAGGCCCCCATCTTGTACACTGCATGTAACCTAAACAACTATATCATAATAATTGTGGAAGGGAGATTTCTATACAAAAGCATGATATAGTATCAACATATAAAATAATTCACTTAGGTGTATAATACCGTGATATTTCCTTAAAACATAAATCGCTGTTCGTCGCTGTAGTCCGGTCATTTCGAATCAGCACGCTGTCGGTGCGACTAGTGCAGTTTTTTCATAATATTGTATTTACGATATGAGTTAAAATTGTATTTTGAGATTATTTTATTTAATATATATTTTATTCTATACGGCTATACTATTATAATAGTAGTTCAGTGGAAGTAACAAGTGATCATCACAGTAAACGATCGAAAATATTAAGAATATAATATATAACTAACACCATCGTCCATCATGTTCGTTCCTTTACTTATATTCGTGTCGTTAACGGATGTTTTCGGTTATTATTTAGCTGATTTGACTATACCTCAAAACCCTCACGAACAGTCGGAAGATATTTACGAAAAGTGTTTGTCAATGAACAAAATTGTCTACGAAGACAGTTGTTGGGACTTGTTGACTAAAGGACCGTGCGATGAGGGTTAGTGAAAAGACACGTTTTTTTTTTTTATTACGTTAAGATATAACGTATAAAAGGCGTATATCTACCTTATCTATTTCCTATTTATAATGAAAATAATAATATTTATTATAAAAGTATGGAATAAAAAAATAGATTAAATAGAAAACGGAAACGAGTTACACCATGGAGCTAAATCTAAATATATAGGTAGGTCTATGAAATATTTTCATATATTATTTAAATTAAATCTTTAAAAGGCAAACAACAATAAAAGACCATTAAGTCATATTGAGTAGAGTGAAAATTGAAATAATACTATTAGGCAATACTTCTATCCAAAAAATAATATAAAATAAGTGAAATTTTTAATTTATTTAAAAAAGCTTAATATGAAAAAAAATTAAATATATATACGTACTTATACTATGAGAAGATCGTTATCACCTTTCTTTTTTTAAGCTCTCCTTAACCCATCCAATAAAAACTATTGATAATTAATAAAAAAATAATTATTTACTTTATCTGATCACATTTATATTGAAATATATACAAATGTATAAACAACATAGGTATATTAATGACTAATTTATGGTTGAAATTATATCTAGTCTAATAACTTTTATAAGTTACGAGTTCGGTATAACTTAATAATATTGAATAATATGCCTATCGGCTATTTAGGTATTACTATTGAATTATTTTTTTAATATTACTTAATAAACTATGATAAGGCCAGATTTTAAATGTAATCAAAATATTTTAATGAATATGAATACAATATTGCTAATTCAATATTATTTCATAATGTAGGTGCATAGTATATTTATATATAGTACAAAAATTAATTGTATGAACGAGAAAGAATAATTTTGGTTATTTATACAATTGAATACCTACCTAATTTAAATTATGGTAAAACACAACCACTAAAATTTGGTGTCATTTTAGTCATAACTATATATCTATAAGCATACATCTAGGCCGAAATCTAACCCATTTAATGTATTCAAAACTTAAAGTACAAAATAAATGTAAAATGTGAATAAATGTTTTATCAATGTAAAATAATTTAATTCTTAATGTGTACCTATACAAAATATAAGTGTTATTTTTTATATAATTTGTTTTAGAATGCCTGGGTGCACACACGAGTTTTCTTAGTGAAGCCCAGTATTCATATGTAAATGAAATGAAATGAAATAAATAAATAATACATAATAAATCATATTAATTTATAGATAATAATTATGATTAATTTAAATTTACATAAAAAACAAAGATTATATTTTGCGCAAAAAAGATAAGCACATAATTTAACAATTAGACGAATAAATTGTTGAGACCTTGAAGATTTCCTTAGTCCCAGACAATTAAAACACTTTAACAACGCAAAAGTATGGAACACAAAAATATAAATGTTAGACAATTGGTATTACTAGCTATTATATAACGGTTAATGGGTTAAGTAATACAAATGTAGAAATTACAGATCTTAAAATTAAATATTAACATTAATCATCTAATAAAATATTAAATTGAACCTTATAAGGAGGTAGGTACCTATACATAATTTATAGTCAATAGTCATAATACATTTTACAAAAATTAATATAAATAAGTTACCTAATTTATTATACATCATATTTATTAAATTTAGATAAAGAATAATTTTAGTTGTTGAATAAATATACCAACATAGTATGGTAATATCATTCTATTGAAATAATATTAATATTTTCATATAATTCAGTAATGATTCATTCGACGATTCAAAACAGTTTTTATAGTTATGAAATGATAAAATGAATCTTATACCTTTAAAATTATCATCAACTGTCAAGACTAATTTGTTGTATTACAAAGTCGAAATTTACACACCATCTAAACTGTCCTACTGCATTATAGGTGTGCATATACATTAACCATTCAATACACAGTATACTAAAATAACTTAAAAAATGCACACTTTTGCCCTGGGACTGTAAGTACGTATTCGCCGTAATCCCAATTTTAACATAGTTCAAGGGTATTATTTTCGGCAGTATAAGACTATAAAGCGAATTACATGTAGTATACGTAAAGATAAATAATCGAGAACCTAAGAGCTTGCGTGTAGATAAATTATTAATACTTGTATTTTGTACCTTGATTCTTGGACAATTTCCGCCGATAAATAATTATACAAACTACAAAAGCACCCAAAGAGAATATATCTACAATAGACTCTTATTTTCTAATTATAATTTATAGCTTACATTATTAAAACAACTGAGTAATTAATTATGACCGTAATGTAATCAGAAAATATTAAATAATGTTCCATGTTTAAGGTTTCTAACTCAGCAAATACAATGTAGGCAAACCATGCATAATAAATATCCCATAGGTACGTGGGTAGATGTATTTTGATTTAAATAAGTGTTAGGACTTTTCACGATTTCTACCCTCTAAAATCTCAATCTACAATCTAAAAAATGTCTCTAAAAAACGTCCACACATTAAAACTGATCAAGATATGGAGGATAATTAAAGCCAATAAGTTAACCTATTTTATCATTGTTATTGCCTACAGTTTTTTTTTTATTTCAGTTTAATACGAATCGTCAAGACTTATAATCTTATACTATAAAACGTGAACCCGAGGGCGCAGCTTATGGAGTAATTCCGAACTAGCGTAAGGGAGAGCCAATGAGAAAATTAGATTTCTATCCGCGGGCGGTCTCCCGGCGGCGGCGGAGCCGTCGCTGCGTTATCACTCCTCTTATCACTTTTTGCCGTTTTTTTCGAAAATCAAAGAAATTTCGAAAAAAAACGAGTTTTACCCCCCCGGGGGGCCTCGGGCGGCCCCGTTCGGACCTTATTCGCGTTCCTCGGTAAATTTATAGTCGGCGAGCGGCCCTACTTTTTTCCCGGCGGGCCCGCGGCGGCGGATGTCGAGTGCGATACGAGCGCCGCCGTCGCGCGCGTTTTTTGCATTTTTTTTCGAAAATTCGAGTTTTAGGCGTTTTGGGGATTATCGACCTCCCCGTTTGGATCTTATTCGCGTTCCCCGCTAAATTTAACGTCGAAACGTGGCCCTACTTTTTCAAAAACGAGTGCCCCGGCGGACGTATCGATCGCCGAGGGCGCCGCGTCGTCGCCGTTTCGACGGTTTTCTCGACTTTTTCGACTAGAGTCGAGTGTAGCAACTCTACGAGACGTCCGACCTCCCCGCCGGCGACGTATTCGAGTTCCTCGCTAAATTTATAGCCGGCGAGGGTACCTACTTTTTCAAAAACGAGTCCCGGGGAGGAGCGACGTCGCTTAAACGAGAGTAGGTACCGATGGGGTATCGAGTAGGTACCGCTATATACAGGCATAAATACGTGCGTCTCGAGGTTCGATTTTTTTCGCAAAGCTCGGGTATTATACGTCCGAGGGCGGCGAAGCCGGTCGTCCGCTCGCCGACGCTGTCGGATCGCCCGCTCAAACGCCCTTTGACGGCTTTCCAAACGGCGTTCGCCTTTCGCGAGCACGGGGACGCGGCTTAAGAGTCATAGAATTGACTCCGGTTTTCATCTGAGTAGGTGGCTAGGTTGGTTAGGCGTTAGGATAGGTGACTCGAGGGTCGTGGGTTCGAACCCGGCCGCCGGGATTTTCGATAATTTGCGGCGCCCGTGATATTTCGGATTTCTTTTTTTTGCGTTTTTTTTTTTTGGTCACATTAATCATTTTTAACGAAAGTGTTCATTTTTTTTTTTAATTTGCATTATTATATTATTATATATATTATTATTATTCGTTTGACGATATTTATTGGGCAAAAAAATTATTATAATTAACATTTACCGACCCACCTACATGTTTCTTTTATAAATACATTACAATTTAACTAACCTATACGTGTAGTACCTACTTGATATATTACAGTTTTTACGTGATTCCGATTTGGTTAAATACCGCTATAGATTATAAATACTATATTAAAAAATAGTAATGACTGCTTCATTTGCCGTTTTTTTCGAAAATTCGAGTCCCGGGGTGGAAACGAGAGTAGGTACCGTGTAGGTATCGCTATATACATACATATAATATATATACATGCGCCTCAAGGTTCGATTTTTTTCGCAAATCTCGCGTTTTGAACGTCCGAAGGCGGCGGACACGGTCCTCCGCTCAAACGCCCTTTGACGGACGCGCAACCCGCAACTCGCAACCCGCAACTCGATAAATTGATTTTTTTTTCGTCGTTTCGCTATCACTTCCGTCTTATCATTTTTTTGTTCCGATTTTTTTCAAAATTCGAGTTTTAACGCCTCTTCTGACTTCGGACCTCCCCGTTTGAATCTTATTCGGGTTCCCTGCTAAATTTATAGCAGGTGCGCGGCCCTACTTTTTCACAGACGAGTCCCGGGAAAGAGCGGCGTCAGGGAAAAGGGAGTAGGTACCGTGTAAGTATCACTATATACAGCAATAAATACATGCGTCGCGTCGTTTTTTGCGTTTTTTTTCTAAAATTCGAAAATATGCGACAAAAAGTTCGATTTTTTCACACACACTTTCATACACATAATACATAAGTCATAAGTCATAACACAGTGATGCACCATTATAATTATGCAATTATAATTACTAAATAATTTAAAACATCATAAATATCATATGACATTAAATAAATTGGTAGGTAGGTACATAATATATTATATACAGTCGTACAATAAAACAGCAAAATATTATGATAGTAGGTACTTACGAAGATAAGTGATAAAAAATTGTATAGTGTATTCATTTATACATTCCTACGTTTAATAGGATATTATTACATTTCAATAAAATTTGTTATTCACCAATATAATTATCTATTTGTTAATTTGATTTAATTCGCATAATTAAATAAATATACATGGTAGGTATATTTTAGAAAATATTCGAAAATATCAGAAAATTAGATTTTGTCGACTTATTTGTTATAACCGCGAAAACATAACAATGATTACATTGATTATAAATACAACATAAAACACCTGATAACTGTTCTC